AGTGAATAATCTTTAATAGTTACTAAAATATCGCAGTTTTCGCATTTCTGAAAATTACCGTTATATGGGAAGTGGGCGTGGTTACAGTCCGATTTCGCCCATTTTCAATACCAACCTACCTTGGATAAATGGAAACCTACATACCAAATTTCGTTGAGATATCTCAATTTTTGCTCGATTTATCGTGTACACGGACGGACGGACAGACAGACATGGCTTAATCGACTTCTCTATTCATTCTAAGCATTTATGTATACATTTGTCTATATCTATCTTGATTCGTTTTGGCTGTTACAAAAAACCGTTATGTGAACAAAGTTAATATACCCTTGTGCAAAAGTGCGCTCGGGTATAAAAATACGATTAAAAATGAGCTGATTTTTATGGATTTGTACTGATTTTTGATCCCAACTGTACTGATTATGTCACTATAATATCTGGCCACCCTAATTTGAATACTAGAAATAACTGAAATATGGCGCCCGTACAATAACCGACAATGGTTCAAATATTAAAGGTCTTCACACCCATTTCGGTAGTTTTGGTACACTGCTAGCTGGTATTCGTAAATTCTATCAACTGCGAACGTAATTTTCAGATTTATTTTGTTAGACTGGTAAACTAAATATGTTTATCAACAGCTAATTCGCAGCTTTTTTCCTATAAAAAATAAATAAATTGTAACAGTAAATTGAATGAATTTTACTTACTCATATGCGTTGCGTTATGCCTTTCGGCAGCGAGCTGATTTAAAATTTAATAAATTTCGAACAGCTGATTGCAGTTTACCAACTACCTGAAAACGGTAAACCGATGATAATATGATTTTACACAAACAAAATACATGGGGAAAAATTACTGAACACAGAGTTACCGAGTACCAAAATCGATGTTAAGATCCCTTGTTTTGCACACACACTTAATTTGGTTTGTGACAACTCTCTGACGATTCCTGAAGATGCAATTATTGAAAAATGTAAATTCATCGTTAAAATGCTTATTTTTACAGCAGCAAAGAGAAAAATAATAGTCTGCCGCCAATAACATACGACGAAGATCGTCTGCCAACCCTATGAAGTTGCGCATGGCAAACATCGCACGAGCACCACGGCTACTACGCTGTAATAAGTGTATAAATATAAGTTATTGGCCAAAACGCCTAAAAATATTAGAATGATGGTTAAACAATCGGAATTGATTAAAATATATCTATATTTTGCCAATTTTTACGTTTATTTTAACGACTATAGTCACATTCACCATCTCTGCTTCCTTTATATCGCGGTTCAAGAACACCCTGTCAAAATGTTTGTATTTGTACATTTTGACACGATATTAACCAGGCAGAAGAAGACAATTTTTTACTTGTAAGTATGCACAATTATGCAGTCTCCGTGAATTATCTAGTGAAAACAAGTGCATGCCAAATTTGTCTAAAGATGTCTGATGTGAAGCCGTACTGCGTTTTTTGTCGAAATTGCAAACATTTGGTCATCAATACTTTGAATAAAAGTGCATATGTATATTCTTTCAATTCGCAGAAGAATAATTTAGATTTAAATGACGTTGTCTTGCGTTTATCACAAAAAATACATCGTTTATTTGCATTTAAATCCTGTGGCGATGTTTGTAGAGATTTCTCGGCATTCTGTTCTTCTTGTACAATACCACTAGTGACAGACTCATCGGATTTTGAGGTATGCCCTTATCATCATCTCGTATATTTATTTCCATATCCAAATCTGTGGCACATTTTCGATATCACAGCTCTCATGTGAATTAATATTTGCACTGCATAAAATATTAACAATATTAAAATTTTATTTTTAATATTTTTTATTGAGCTTTGTACCACGATTGTTTATTAGGAAAAATTGAAAAAGCAACAAAGTCTAAACGGTAGAATTTATAGCACTATTTCGGAGATCACCACATCACATGTGGTACAAAGCTCAATAAAAAATATTAAAAATAAAATTTTAATAAGCCACAATAACATTGACAATATTAAAATTTGTTAAATATATGTAAGACAAACACACTTTGTACTACATTTTGATTTTAATCTCAAATCATTCTCTGGACTGAAAAATTTGCATTAATTGTTTGCTGGGTTATGGAGCTACTTCGGTAGATGAAAAAGAGAAACGAAAGTAAATTTTCTTCCTTCCCTCCTACGCGGTTCGACGCTTCGCGTCTTCCTCAGGGAATCTGTTTTATTAAACTTTAAACGGCGGCCGCCGTGGTTTAGTGGTAAGCAGTGCGCGCTTCCACTTCGCAGCGCCTGGGTTCAAGACCTGGTCAAAGCAAAATCCAAAAAAATTTAGAAAAAAGGTTTTTTCTTAACAGCGGTCGCTCCTGCCATCGCTTTCTGCCATGAAAACCAGCTTCTCATAAAAATACAATCGCCGTTCGGAGTCGGCGTAAAACTGTAGGTCCCTCCATTTTGTGTGAAAACATCAAGGCGCACGCCACAAATCGGAAGAGAAACTCGGCCAAACACTAACATATGTGTCAGCGCCAATGAATTATTATTATTATTAATTACAATCACAATATTAACAAACATATGTATAGCAAAAAGGCTTATACAAAATTTTTTAACTTACATTTAAATTATAAATTCAACAATCATTAGCACAAAACATCACAATTCTCTATAACTACTTAACTATGTTATATTATTCGCCTAAGTACTTGATTATTTGTTAGCCCCGGGATATAAGTAATTGCAATATATTTGTTGTTCGTGTTATCAACGGTCCCTTTGCTATTGTTATTTGGACTGCGAATTTTGCTTTCAGTTGTGTCTATTAGCCGTTGTGTTATTGCGCGCGGGTAGCTATTTTTCTACAATCTATACTATATACAATTAAAACAAAAAAAAAAACGTGAGAGCAAAACAGCCGATGTACTGGGTCGATTTCTATGATTCAAGTTTTATGGCATATTTCTACCACAGTAGGACACAGTGGTATTTTTAAAATGAAATTTTAATAATAAGTATGTTCAATAAAAGTATTAAGTTGATCAACAATACCACGCATTAGTTGCGTTCCAGATGCTTCACGATTTGCAGGTTTTTACAGGAAGTCGTTCCAGGTGACCACCTCCCATAAGGTTTATTAATGGAAAAAACAGCTGTTCGTGCAAATCGTGAATATCGTGAAGCATCTGGAACGCAACTATTNACATGTGGTACAAAGCTCAATAAAAAATATTAAAAATAAAATTTTAATAAGCCACAATAACATTGACAATATTAAAATTTGTTAAATATATGTAAGACAAACACACTTTGTACTACATTTTGATTTTAATCTCAAATCATTCTCTGGACTGAAAAATTTGCATTAATTGTTTGCTGGGTTATGGAGCTACTTCGGTAGATGAAAAAGAGAAACGAAAGTAAATTTTCTTCCTTCCCTCCTACGCGGTTCGACGCTTCGCGTCTTCCTCAGGGAATCTGTTTTATTAAACTTTAAACGGCGGCCGCCGTGGTTTAGTGGTAAGCAGTGCGCGCTTCCACTTCGCAGCGCCTGGGTTCAAGACCTGGTCAAAGCAAAATCCAAAAAAATTTAGAAAAAAGGTTTTTTCTTAACAGCGGTCGCTCCTGCCATCGCTTTCTGCCATGAAAACCAGCTTCTCATAAAAATACAATCGCCGTTCGGAGTCGGCGTAAAACTGTAGGTCCCTCCATTTTGTGTGAAAACATCAAGGCGCACGCCACAAATCGGAAGAGAAACTCGGCCAAACACTAACATATGTGTCAGCGCCAATGAATTATTATTATTATTAATTACAATCACAATATTAACAAACATATGTATAGCAAAAAGGCTTATACAAAATTTTTTAACTTACATTTAAATTATAAATTCAACAATCATTAGCACAAAACATCACAATTCTCTATAACTACTTAACTATGTTATATTATTCGCCTAAGTACTTGATTATTTGTTAGCCCCGGGATATAAGTAATTGCAATATATTTGTTGTTCGTGTTATCAACGGTCCCTTTGCTATTGTTATTTGGACTGCGAATTTTGCTTTCAGTTGTGTCTATTAGCCGTTGTGTTATTGCGCGCGGGTAGCTATTTTTCTACAATCTATACTATATACAATTAAAACAAAAAAAAAAACGTGAGAGCAAAACAGCCGATGTACTGGGTCGATTTCTATGATTCAAGTTTTATGGCATATTTCTACCACAGTAGGACACAGTGGTATTTTTAAAATGAAATTTTAATAATAAGTATGTTCAATAAAAGTATTAAGTTGATCAACAATACCACGCATTAGTTGCGTTCCAGATGCTTCACGATTTGCAGGTTTTTACAGGAAGTCGTTCCAGGTGACCACCTCCCATAAGGTTTATTAATGGAAAAAACAGCTGTTCGTGCAAATCGTGAATATCGTGAAGCATCTGGAACGCAACTATTGCTAGACCGTTTTCCTTTAATGCGTTTGTGTTTAGAGAGCATCAACAAACCACATACATATTTATCTCTATTCCCTTCTCTTTTTATACTCAGCTAGCACAGCGCAAAAATAAAAAAAGAACCTATGTCAGCTTCAGGCATGCGCAAAGCGATACTTATGTACAAACAGCGCTGCGCCCAAAGCGAAATTTATGTATTTACAAGCAGCGCTGCGTTCAAAACAAGCAAACACTGTACATCGTGTATTTAGTTTGACAACTGTTTTTGTTTTTAATTCAAAATGCTGCTTCCTGCGATATCGGCACAAGCTCACTGTAAGCTTCTTGGTGTGGCATACATACAGTCATCTTCAGCTTTTCCTTTATATCATAAAGATGAAAAAAAGTTGCCGCTGCGCAGCAGAAATTTAATTTTACATCGCTGTAGTAGCATGCAGAATAAATAACAAAGAAATGTCTGCTTCGCTTCATGCAAATTCTGCACAAAACAAAACTCAACAATGTTAGTTCAACGGATCAACATTCAATCAATTGAGTTAGACTTGAATACACCCAGCAAAAACACGATTACCACAGAAGCGAAAGTGGAAACGAGCTAGGCGATGGGAATCGCTTACCCTTTCGCTTCAGGATGGCATTATTTTAACATGGGCATGTCATTGGCGGTAAGCCCTTACCCGCAGCATTACCTTCAAACGAAGGGAGAACTCATGGATAAACAGAATCCAGAGAAGCGAACAAAGAATGCCTTACAGAGAAACTAATGCAGAATGCCTAGATGAGTACATACTTATTTATATTAAATTGAAATCAGATAATGTCTTAAAAGATTAAAATTAATTAAAATTTGTATAAATCAGTTTTTATACAAACATATGTATTTATTTGGGTATTTAGATTTTACTTAAAAATCGGTATGTACATACATGCATATTTAATTAAGCTTAAAATTGTACTTCCTCACTCTTGTACTTCACTTCATTGACTGACTTCAACTTCGCTTTAAATTGAACAAAGCAAAACATGAAACTAACGGTAGAAAAAGATTTTTTTGGATATGCATTTTATTTTTCAGCTGACTACGATGCAGCATACTACTTTGCATTCCCCGAAATGAAGCAAAGAAGTGAAATAATAAAAAAATTTTGTAGGACATTCTACTTTGCATTTCCTGAAATGAAGCAAAGAAGCGAAATAATAAAAAAATTTTGTAGGACATTCTACTTTGCATTCCCCGAAATGAAGCAAAGAAGTGAAATAATAAAAAAATTTTGTAGGACATTCTACTTTGCATTCCCCGAAATGAAGCAAAGAAGTGAAATAATAAAAAAATTTTGTAGGACATTCTACTTTGCATTACCGACAATGCCTAAAAGAAGCGAAAAAATTCGAAGGCATTATAACGCTTTGCCTTCTAGAACACGTTACAACTAAAAGCGATTACCGATTTTTTGCTGGGCATGCATACATATCGTCGCCTCAGAAAACGGATGACGAATGTGCAAAATCACGATTTTGGGATTTTGATGCAGATTTACTAAGTTGGACATGCTCTTTCGATTTCTGCAATCCATTTTTTTATATCTCCATTAGTTTTTGAGATATTTCGTGCGCATTTTGTCGTATGTTACATAATATTAATGATTGGGTATGCCTTTTGTTGTATGTGCTGAAAATGCGTCACATACGACAAATTCCCATACAAACGTACC